CAACAACAACAACAAACAACAACAACAACAACAAACAACAACAACAACAACAACAACAACAACAAACAACAACAACAACAAACAACAACAACAACAACAACAACAACAACAACAACAACAACAACAACAACAACAACAACAACAACAACAACAACAACAACAACAACAACAACAACAACAACAACAACAACAACAACAACAACAACAACAACAACAACAACAAAAATAACAACAACAACAACAACAACAACAACAACAACAACAACAACAACAACAACAACAACAACAACAACAACAACAACAACAACAACAAGTGGTCGAATCACAGGACTGAAATACAATGCAAGCAAATGGAGAACAGCTCAGTATCGTAACTGGTGATGAATGTGTTGGTCACGTTTGGTGGAATTATCTACAGTACAATCAAAATAGAAAATAGGTCAGAAAAAATTAGTAAAAAGCCAAAAATTAGCGTATGCACTGTTTCAGCAACCTTGATAACATACTAAAAGTCCTCATGTATCTATCCTCTTGGAGCTTTCTCCATTATGACAAGTTTTTTGTTCGATTTCCCTAGTGAACTCCCATATTGTTAAAAAAGTGAAATTTCAGATTCATTTATAGGAAAAATAAGTTACATCATTAGAAAACTTACAAAAAACTACATATAAGACATTTAAACGGCTACCTTGATTTTGCAAGTTCTTCTTGAGTTATGAGCTGTTGGAAACGTGTTGTCAGACTAGTACCCAGGATTTTTGCCAGATTTTGGCCTATTTGTCACATTTGGAACAGCAATAACTCGAAAACCGCTTGAAAAATTTAGGTGACTGTTTAAATGTCTTATATGTAGTTTTTATGAGCTTTCTAGTGATGCGAGTCATTTTTGTTATGAGTGAACTTAAAATTTCACGTTTTTTAACAATATGGGAGTAATAGGGAAATCGAAAAAAAACTTGTCATAATGGAAAAAGCTCCAAGAGGATACATGGGGACTTTTAGTATATTGTCCAGGATAGTTAAATTATTGCATCTAACAATTTTTAGCTTTTTACTATTTTTTTCCAACCTTGGCCTTAAAATGAGCTAAAATTACTGAACTAGTATGTCAATAACAGTGCCAGTGTATATTTACAATGTTCATACCTGCAAGTTTTTTTTATTATAAAAGTGTATTTTCCCAATTTAGATTGGGGCATGGGTGGGTCATGAAAACAAATTTGTAAGATTAAATGGGCTTCGAAATTTTTATCTACTTCCAGGGACGCCGGAACTGGGGGGGGGGCAGGAGGGGCATCCGCCCCCGTTGCCCTTTACCAGGAGGGGCAAGGGGGGCAAAGGTGCCTTTTCAATTTAAAGGACTGCCTTGGCGGAATAGCGAATTTTCAGAAATTGTCAGTGCAATTAGCGAATTGTCAGTGCGATTCCTTTGCGAATTTGCTTCAGAAAACGCAAGAAATGCAGTCATCGAGCTTCAAGAATAGCACAATCGCCAGGCAGAGAACCCCCTCACACCCCTATCATCCAATAAATAGGAAACATGATTAGGCGAAGTTCAACTCCCGATGTTTTGAAAACATCTCTTAGAAAATATCAATTCAAAAGTGCCCTTTAACGAAAATCTGCCCCCCCCCCTTGCCTTCACATCGTTCCGGCGTCCCTTTCTACATCCTTTAATATGGGACACCGAACTTATTGGCAAAATTTGTGATTTACCTCCAGCCCTCCCTAGCATGCAGTTACTTTATGACCAGTCCCTTAGTTACGATTAATTTTTATCAGTCCTTTGATAGCTTTAAAGAAGAAAATCATGTCAAGGTGGTATACAAATTTGCAAGTTTGGAGTTCCGTCGACATTTTGAGCTTCACTGATATATGGATCTTAACCCTACTCCGGCAACGAAGTGTGTGTGTCTCTTAACTGATTTACTATGTCGGTGTGATACGATGTATATGAAGAAAAGTACAATCCCCACCATTAATAATTCATGAGTAAATTAGCCAACCGTATTACTTTATTTTGCTCACACGATAACACTGGATATCTACACGGTATAGTGAAGTATGTATTGATCCAGTCCTAAGACTGGATCAAAATGAATTCCCCTCACTTTAAGGTTACAGGACACCCTTTTTGGCGTTTTGCGGAAAATCGCTATACTGCGCGCTCAATACCAGTCCGATTTTAATTCAGGATTATTTTTATTCAGGAAAATCTTAAATCGCGGTACCGTAACGCTTTTGAGTTGTGCTCCTGCTGGTTTTAAGTCATATTTATGAAAATATCATTTTTATACAGTAAAATAGTTGTTCTAAAAAATTGTGTTCGGAAATTTTTGTTTATTTCGTCATTCCGCTGATATGGCGATTTCTTTGACGACTGCAATATATTTCTGAATTGTTTCGGTGAATTGCTCTTTATTATTAAAATATCCAAAATAAAAAAAAGCCGAACACATTTTGAAACTGACGTCTTTAGCTATGTCCTGTGAAAATTGGAGAAAATTTTGGTTAAAACCCGTAGGAGAACAACTCGTTTGAAAATCAGTAATTACCGTAAAATTCGTCGGGAGAAAATTGAATTTGGATATTACATTTTCAATGTTTTTCTTATTGCAGCGAAATGTATTTTATTCAATAACTCTGCGAGTTTTCAACATTTTTCGTTCAAACTTGGTCAGATAGTAGAACTAGTCTAATGCTTTCATGGAAACCAATAAAAACATTTTAGGCAAAATTAACACTCAAAGATGTTCTGTAGCCTTAAGTAGTGATTTATTCGTACGAGATGTCATTTCAAATCCTCCAATTCGGACTGGACTAGATTTCAAATCCTCGCATTTTGATCAAGTCCTCGGTAAAATTGTATTTCAGGAAAAGATAAAACTATATATCTTGAATCTTATGCCGTACGTATGGGCGAAAATGAGCGATGTATTCTACACGCGTGCATATATATAAACATAATCAATTCCAGTTGAGTCAGTTGAATGAATTGGTATATTGTCTTATTGACATTGAAAGATATGGAATTTCACACAGAGCGATGCAACATCATCTTGAAATAATTGTGACACACAAATACCAATTAAACTGACAGGTCACTGCAGTGAATGACGTTTACGTACGCTCTGGAAGCACCGTCTTGGCCACACCTCAACCTTGACACTGAAAATTGGATGCAAAACACGTATAATTGCACTGATGATATATATGGTACTCGTATGTTTTACCATGCATTGGCGGTTACCAATTTAATAAACATTTGTATAAAATTGGGGTCTGTTTTACACGCTTGGAGGTCGAGGTTTTGCGGTTTTGAGTTTTGACTCTCAAAAAACAACCTTAATTGAATTAGCTGTATATTTAAAAAAGGATGAATATGCTAGAAAAAGCTTCCAAAGAGAAACAGGTTTACATACAAGTTTATTTAAAGAATTAATACCGAAAGAGCATCGAAAAAAACAAATAAATTTGCAGTCAACAATAAGTCTACACCTAATATACTAGAAAGTACCTTAGCATTCCTTAGCACATATATAAAATATCTCACTTTTCTTTCTCAGCAATATCTGTTCTAGAACAATATTTGTTTCACTTTAAGTTTTAATTAAAACGAAAACGTTTCAAATCTTAAGCAGTTGCGACACGGATTGCGGCTGAGTGAACCGACAAAATATAGCAACAAGGAAGAATATATTATTGCTGCATTCAATACATGGCAATATAACACTACTAGAACAATTATACCATTCGCTCTCAACGTATATATTGGGCTGGTATATATAATCGCTAAACTAGTATTTTCTGGTTGCATAAAACAACTACACAGTTCTAATAAAAATGTCCACTAAACTGAAATTTCCACAACATTTGTGACAAGTTTATCTTAGTAGATGGGTATAGTTTTGGGGTCTTCTGGTATCTCTATTGCCAAATTATTCTGAATAGTAATTTTTCGAGTGCAGCATGGACTGTTTTCTAAAACCACTTTGAAGATGAATTGCCCACAAAAATGTAAGGTTTATAACGCAATTTAAACTCATAGGGTGCAAATTTGGAAGGTGTTTTATAGAACTGAAATTTGATGTGCATTAAGTCCTACGAGCGACCTTTTTGTCACAGTCACTCTTTCTCGCATAATTTATCATACGTACGACATTGGACTTAACGAACATCAAATCGGTCTGGTACTTGATAGTTCATAAAACACCTTCTAAATTTGCACTCTATATGCATTCAAATTACATTTCAAACGCCATCCATGCGGTTTTCAGAAACAGCTCTGCTGTACTCGAGAATTTACTTTTCAGAGTAATTTTGTGATAGAGATACCAGAAGACCCCAAAGTTGTCAAATATTTTGAACAATTTTCAGTTTAGTGGACATTTTAGAACCGTATAGTTTTTTTATACACCAATCTGCAGACATGCATGTTTCGGCGTTCTACGCGTCATCAGCGAATTATACACCTCTAGATGGTGATATATCGCCGTATTTATGCAAGCGCATGTGGTAGAACACAATGACACCAACTCATCTAGACATGGCCTGAGTGTAATGTGGGCAGACTAGTGATCAAACGACCACAAGGGAAGTGAGCTGTCATTATCGCTAATAAACACCCATTAACAACTCCATGCACAATGCTCCAATCTGCAAAAGACCAGGAGTGTGTGTTAAAGAGAAAGGAATAGAAATCAAACGATGCATAGAGTACTTTAGATTTAGTATAGGTATAGAAAGTTGACCACATTCAGTGACGTAACCCCCCCCCCCCACCTCTCCCTCGCAAAATATTGGTCCCCCTTGGAAAAGTTCTAACCATGCAGTATAAGCATGTGTATTATATTTTCATTTCTTGTAATGGAAATTTCATATCTTGCTATGTTTTAAATGTTCTGGATTCGTTAATTTCGTTTGTGCTAAAGTAGAATTGTTATGGGTTATTTAAAATCACGAAAACACGATAAACTGATAGCACCTAAATGCTTAAAATTGCACTTTACAGTTTACCGACTGTAGAATTTAAAGATTTCGCTGGAGGAGCACCTCCTGGGGCCCCTAAACGTTCATTTTACCAATTTTCACATAATCAACAAACTTTATTCAACTAGGGCCGGATAAAATTGCCTCGGTCCCTCCTGGCCAGGGAGTTTTTGCCTCCCTTGACTAAAATTACTCCTGGCTACGTCACTGATCACTAGGCGTGTGTCTAGATTCTATACATTTCATAATAATTTTCAAACCTCCTTAAATTAACCTCGCTATTCATTCATCTAGATGTGGTAAAGCATTTGATAGGTAGTAATTTTGAAGTAATTCTTCTTTTAAAAATATCGGCCACAGTTTTCCTGTCAATGGTATGATGGAAAATATTACTGTTCCACAACCGCGCTATTCCACAATTAATTTCGAATCGAAAATTATTTAAATTTTTTAAAATCATTTAAATTAAAGCGTTTAGGCATCTCATCACTTCCATCCACCACATTCCGCCATTTATATTTATAAATAATAATTAACAATAATGCAGCTATCGACTAATTTTACATGAATTTAGACAAGAAAGACGAAATCTATCATTAGAGCTCAAAAGAGAAAATCCTATAACATTAGTAAAATTGCAAAGTTTGGTTGAGAAATATTGTAAAATACGAACTGAAATATAGGCCTGTTAGGCGTATATTGAGTATTTTAGTATATTACGCGTGGAAAAATGCACCACGTTCGGCTCAAAAGTGGTGCATTTTTCCGCGCGTAGCCAAATACTAAAATATTCAAAAGTCACAGGGCTATATTATCCGTATTTTACAACATTTTGCAACCAGATTTAGAAATTTTACTCATCAAAGGATGTTCGTTTAAGCTATAATGATAGAATTTGTCCTTCTTGTCTGGATCAAATTTAGTCTATAGCTGGAATTCATTTATTGGTGATTTGTGTCATGATACCAAGGCAAGTGTGTGGTTCTTGCGTTTTATTTATAACGATCAATGAATGTAAGAAGTCACTTTAGATTTTAGAACCCGGTAAGACTTTCTACTTGTACGGTTTATGACAAACGTTCATCTTACGTTAACCGCTGCATCATTTCGCGGTTCTTTTCGTGCGTTGTATACAATTTAATTAAAGGATATATGCACAAATGTTTTACTTGCATCCCAGTATGGATCATTTGCGTAGCTTTTCGTTCAATTGTTCCAGAAACTTGCTGAAAGGGACATTATTTACAAAAACTGGCTGATCTGACGGATTATTTGCCATAAATTGTACAGGGTTGAAACTGTCGTTTTTTATCGTGTACTTCCGTCTTCCAGCAATGAAAACTTCACTAACGTATTTTGAGTCCTTCATAACCCAATGTAATTGATGGTAGATACCACCTGAATGAAACAAAATAAGAAAATTAACGGGTTATAGAATTAGTTAAAGACAAATTGGGATTAAAACATATAGGTGCATGATTCCCAAAGTAGTTCTGGAGTAATAATATATAGGGACCAGAATAGGTAAGTTTTAGAAAATATTTCAACAGTTTTATAATATATTTTGGAGTGTTAATAATATTTTTTTAAACTTACAAAATTGTACGTTTTTCATAATTTTTTCTGTGTTTTAAGGCAATTCTTTATATTTGAAACGACAATTTTCCGGCAACTATTATCCAGCCAGTATACGTATGCCATTACCTGATGCTTAATTAAATACCAAAAAACTCCGGTGTTGCGAATTAGACATGAGATCAGTTGTGTTTATTACTTTAGTCCAAGCAAGATATATTGCTAAATTTAAACGACATGATGAAAAGTCTTTAGTTATTACATTTACATTTTAACGTATATTTTTCGACGTATAGCTACAAACAGTTAGAAACAAAGTATTTTCCAGGGCCCCGTTCCTAAAATCATGCATCTATATTTTCAAATCGAATATCAAATCGAGTACTGCATGCATGCGCATCCACCCAGCACTACAACCAGTATACTACCGAAGCTTCATTGTATATGGCATTGTTCATAGCGTTAGTAAATCTTCGGCCTCATGAATTAAGATTTATATATGCTTTGATCCCCCACTGGATCCGCCACTAGAAAGCCGGCCTGATGGTATTCATATTCATTTTCCCTGTTGCGCATGTTAACACGAAGTGCAATTAAGCATGTTCCTTGAATAATTGTCCAATAAATCAATTCAATGAAAAAAACAACAACAAATGACAGATCAAGCTTACCGATTCCAGAAAGAGAAGTGGGTGTTTCCGTTGTTGCACTGACATCAGTTGGAACTTGTGTTATTACAGCATAAGTTAAGCTTTGTCTTGACACAGCTTCAATTGGAGCTTGTGTTGACAGAACAGCAGTTGGTGTTTCTGTTGGAGAATGGGAAAGAAAGCAATGAAAAAACAAGGTATAACACTGAAATGTAAAAAACCATAACTATTACTTGGAATTCTTTCATAAAATTTATTTTGGCTAGCTAATAATGCTTGTTTTTAATATCGCTACCCAATCCAGAACTTTGGATAACCGGTTTGCGCAGTTACTAGAGCCCCAGTTTACAAATTACAAAACTATAAATTAGAACAGAGGTAGCTACGCAATGCAATTATGAAAAAAATTATTTATTTGCCAAATTACAAAAAAATAATTAGCTAACTTTGTTCTACTGTATGAATTCTGTAGCTATGCGAGTTATCAAGAGTGGTATATAAACAAGGGTTATTCAAGTGTTGTCCATGCTGTAACTCACCTGAAGAAATATAGTAGACAAGACTGACTGGTGTAAATCGTACGTTACAGCACGTCATGAGTATTTAAAGTTCAAATGTTTGAAAGCAATAGTGCAAGTTATTCAAGTCACATGAATGTTTTCATGCAGAATACAGGTCCGCATATAGTCAACGATGTTATATAGCAGCCAAAATGGACTTGAGGGGTGGAGCTACATTAGAAAACTAAATCTTGAGGAGTGGAGCTAAATTAGAAAGTGGACGATAATTCATTTCCATAACAACATACTCGCAATAAATATTGGTTCCAGCACATTGTAACACAACGGTTTCAATTCTAAAGGCATGTGTGTGTCGATAGAAAGCAATCTACAGGTTTCAGATTTCACATAGTCATCTTTTTTTCAATACAATGAACAGAAAGCAAAGTAAAAGATCAACTTTACCGATTCCAGTTGTAGAAGTTAGTGATTCAGTTGTTAAAACATCAGTTGAGCCTTGTGTTGACATAGCATTCGTTGGACCTTCTGTTGAAACAGATTGGGTTGGTGGTTGTGTTGACGTAGCAGCATCAGTTGGAGCTTCTGTTGGAGATGAAAGTAATGATATAAAATAAGGCACAGTAAGTTTCCGCTAACTCTGAAATGTATAAAAATAATAAATGTTACTTGGAATTCGTTCATATAATACACAAATAAATACACAAATTTAGCCAAATGCTTGTTTTTAGCACAGCTACCCATGCCAATGCAGTAACTTAGGGTAACGTGCATACGCGGTTACGAGGTAGCCATGCATTATAATCCATCATCATCATCCCCGTTGTCCCATCAAGGGGAGTCAGGTCGCCTGCACACTTTTTCCCTGTATTATGTCGTCAACTTATCCAGATTCACCACTCTACCATCATCTTGCGCACAACCCATCCGCCGCTTCCTCAGTCGTCCTTTCTTCCTCCCTATGCTCCGCAGCCAATTTGACAAACTCATTTCCTTCCATTCTCTTCATGTGGCCATACCATCGTAGTCTAGTTTCTAATATCTTTTCTATCAGTTCCGCCACGTTCAATTCCTTCCTTGTTTCTTCGTTTCTCATTCTCTCTCTCTTCTTGTTACTTCTTTAATAGCTCGTAAATATCTCACCTCCACTACCTCCAATTTCTTCACTTGTTCTTTTTTCACTGCCCAAGTCTCTGTGCCATATAGGATCACCGGTCTTACCATAGTCTTGTACACCTTTGTTTTCAGTCTCATTGGCATCCGCTTGCCAAATGTTATTCCACCAATATTCCTCCATGTGTTTCCTGTTCCCTACAGTCTTGCCTGTATCTCGCAATCCAGATCACCATACTCCTGTATAGCCAAACGACTAGGTGTATGAAGGCTGTTGTTAGCTTCACCAGTCGTCTCCAACAGTAGTTGCTGACCATCCACTGTAATATCTGTAATCGTGGCATTGTCTGTCCTCCTGAAACTTGCATTACTGCCGTTTAACCTTTCTCATCCGCATACCACGCACTGCCAGTTGGTTGTTCCAATTCTTTATTGCTTTTTGTAATTTCTCTGCTTTGTTGATACGCAACCCGATATCATCAACATAAATTACCTTTTATCCTCACTCCATTGGGTACCGTTAACTGATGTAGCCCAACAGTATTAATTATGTACAACAGTGGACTCAAAGTTTAGCCCTGCCGTAAGCCCACTTTCACTTCAAATGCCTTGGTTTTACCAAAGCATGTTATCATTTGGGTGCTCGGTGTTGAAATGTACAGAGCCATCACCTGTTGATATGTGTACAGAGCCATCACCATGCTTGTTAGTTCGTCTGGACCGTGGTACTGTCATAGTACTGGTGGGATTATTTCTCTATTAATTTTCTCATACGTCTTCTCCAAATCCAGGAGGCCCCAATAATTCTCATTGGAATTCCAGGTTTCTCATCAGAATGAACATAGCTGTCCTTTTCCTTTTCCATTCTGTTGTCCTTTTCCATTTCTGAATCCAAACTGTTCTTCGCCACGTTAGGGGCTCCACTGACACTTTCATCCTACTCTCTAGTATTAAAGGCTCAGTTCAGCCTGTTGAACGATGGTTTTTAAGGCGCAATTCAGCTCTTTTAATTGAAAAAACTAACTAGGAAAATCAATTAAGCATAATTCAAGATCACCAAACTCAATGTTTTTAACATTTTAAAACATTTTTATTGTTAAAACATCGAGTTTACTGATTTTGAATTATACTTAATTGATTTTCCTAGTTAGTTTTTTTAATTAATTTAAAAGGGCTGAAATGCGCCTTAAAAACCATCGTTCAAAAGGCTGAACTGTGCCTTTAAGACAAAGAGAAATTTATTTCGTACCCTTATTTTACATATTTACAATTTCAATATTACGGTACAGACTAAAATAACTAAAAAGCTAATGTACCAGGTAGTCTGTATTATGGGGTTTCTTTAATTTATTACACATTACATTGACAACACATGACAAAGGCGGGTATTCGCTTTTCTTTCCGAATTGCATTCATTACTCTACGCAACCATACGATCCCTTTTTCTCCTTGGACAAGAACCATAATCTTATCTGGCACGTCCTGCTGCTTTTCCTCGTTTTATCTTGCAGCTAAATAGAATATGACCATTTGGCAAACGTACTTATTGCATCCTTCATTTCTGCTATAGAGATCCCTGGTTGTGGATCATCTATTAGTATTCTTGTTGGAAGTAAGGTGTCAAAGTACTTGCTCCCCCTCTTCTTCGCTGCTTCTCCTTCTAACTACATCACTGTTGTCTGTCCCTCCTTTCTTGTCTTTGCTAGCTTGTATGTTTTCGTTCGGGAAACTAGTGAAACTTCGTTTTCTAGTTCATAATAGAGATCATCTTCTGCTGTTTTTTTGGCTTGCTTCGTTCCCCATTTCCCAGTTGTTTGTCCTATTTTGCATCTCAGCACAGATGGTTGCAGTTCTACATGCTTTTCTTCAATTCCCACCTGTTCTTCTTCCCTCCACCACCACTCTTCTCTATCAGGTTTCTTACCTTTGGCTTACTACAGTTCCGGAAAGGCTTCCATCCGTTTCGGTTGAGGAAATCACTTTGAGTTACATACTACACAGCGAAGCCGGTCGCGTACCGCAGTGTAGTCGTTTCCAAGCACAAATGGAGGTGCTTCTGTTGTTCTGGAGGGATCGTCCACCAGCGTCACCTGCAAGCCCAGTGGGATCCCCTAGCCTTTGCTTTAGAAGGCTTACCGCAAGGCAGCGGGTGTGGTCTGCGTAACATGTTTGTTTGCTTTTTATCGCGAATCGTTCATCTGCTTAGACCGACTTGAGGTTCTCTTTAGTTAAAAATTTTAAAGTAAAGCTAAGATATTCTATAGTGGTGCAAGTCTTTTCAATTCCTTACCTATCGTGATTTAAAAACTCTTGAGATTTATACGGTTTCATCTTTTACAGTAAAACTTAAAAAGTTCTTTCTCCAATGGAACCACAATGTGGATGAATTTTCCAGCGCTATATGCCAACATGTTGTCCTTTGTCAATGCTTTGGTAAAAGGTCATGTACAATAACTGTATAGTTATATTATGAGGGACATACGGAAGAATACTTAAGTGGGAATTGTGCAAACATTGCTTTTTCCCTCTTTAAATAAGTATTAACTAACTAACGAATTGCGTCGGTAATGGTAAATAATAACTGAAATATTGTCAAAAATTATACAAAAAAATTAATCGTACGTTACAGCATGTCATAAGCACTTGAAGTTTAAATTTTTGAAAGCACCAGAGCAAGTTATTCAAGTCACATGAAAACAATGCAGAATACAGGTCTGTATTCATAGATGATAGAAGTAGCTAAAATGCACAGAATTGTGTATCTTTCGACTTAAATTGAATGCCAGGGACACAAATTAAAATTAGCATCACTTGGGAAGCGGAGATAAATTAGCTTGAATTTATACCAGAAATTTGAGACAAGATAGCGGGGCGCGGGCGCATAAGTCATAATACTGTATATTATTAAAACCAAACGGTAGTGATTACTTTTGTTTTTTCCTTAGGAATTATTAATGAGTTTTTAATCTTGTTTAGCAGTACATAGTGTAGAATATGCAGTATTCAGCATGAATGTATGAATACTTACCGGTGCTGAAGACTTCAACTTCGCACAAGGTTAGAGTCTTGTGTTGTCCAGGTATTCTTATAGTCAAGAAACGACCAACCATATTTGGACATGATATAACTTTAGAATTACCGTTTATTGTATGCAACCCGCCACATTTTGGACTCTTTTCAGCTTCTTCGCCAAAGTATTCTCCAATACGTATTTCGAAGTCCGATAATCAGTCTTAACAACAGTCCTGTCTGTTTGTTATTCGTACGGCTGATACTTTGACAGAGCCGGGTTCAAATGACACAGACCAGAATGGATTCTCCTCAGTAGGTGTATGAGTACAAGAGAAATCGTCGTAATTGCCGCTTCTGTTGCCATCCACAGCTTTATATGCATAGCCGGCTCTGCTTGTGTTTGATTGTGTGGCGTAACCACGCAATGCATAATTGACTGATAAAAAAAAAATCATCTCATATTAGTATAACTATGTTGCAAATATGGTTGCATTGTAAAGGTAATAGTTAGATACATTCCTCGTAAATATCTCGGCTTTCTTCACCATGTGTTTTGTTTCAAAAAGCATCAAATCTCCCCCGACCCTTTTTTCATTGTCGATGATCAAAAAGTTGTATGATACTAACGCAATGTAATCTAGCATTGTAGAAGGGGGGATACAATGTGCCTCAGATACGTAATAAGAGTGTGAACTTTTTAGTTTCAAGCTTAGTG